GGTGGATAGACACTTTATTAGAGAAAGAATTGTTAGCAGAGAGATTTTCCTTCCTTTTGTAAGGTCAGAAGACCAACTAGCTGATTGCCTCACTAAAGGTGTTCACCATCCAAAGTTTGCTAAGAACCTTTCCAAGCTAGGCATGATTGACATATATGCTCAGCTTGAGGGGGATTGTTGAGAATGGTTAGACATGGGTGTTTTTGGTCATTTTCTCCTTTCTTGTACTCTCTCTGTATTTGGGCACCCAGATAGGGGCCTTCTTGTAAATATTAATTTTCAATTATATAGTGAACTTTTGAGGGTGTGAACAGTGAACATCACACACCTCTTGACACTTCCCTTTCTTCTTCCTCTTCTTCTTTTCTTCTCTTCTTTCTTTCACTCTCTTGAAACCCTAATTTCTGCAACTCTTTCAACCTATTTTCTCCCCACTTTTCGTATCCCAACCAAAGTAGCCAGAAAGCTAGAGAAAATCATGAGAGATTTCCTATGAGAACCAGGGGATGAAAGGAAAGATCCTTTAGTGAAATGGGAGGTAGTGTGTAGACCAAAGAGCCAGGGGGATTAAGCTTAGGAAATTTGTTACATGGGAGCGCTGCTTTACTTTGGAAATGGTTGTGGTGATTGCCTCAAGAGGAGAGTTTGTGGCACAAAGTCATAGTAAGCATTCATGGAACTTTGGGCAATGCAAGTCATGGTAATCTCTCATGAGGTACTTCCTATTTTCTTTAGTTTTGCAAAATTTGATGTGGGAAATGGTAGTAAAGTCCTTTTTGGGAAGATGTTTGGTTAGGTGATATACCCTTAAAATCCCAATTCCCTTTGCTCTATTCACTTTCTAGTCTTCAAAAGAAACCCATTGCTTGCCTTTTGAGCCTTTTCACTTCAGGTTTAAATTGGGATTTTGGTTTTAGAAGGGGCTTAAGGGATAGAGAATGTGAACTTGTGATAGATTTGCTAAATAAGTTTGGGTTAGTCTTCTTGGATTCAAGGGTGGATGACAGTAGAATCAGGAAATCTACTCTATATGGTTTGTTTTCCTGTGCTTCTACCTAGTTTTGTTATAGTTAGGCGAGGGGGAAGAAATTTTCCCAGTGAAAGAGATTTGGAGCAAGCCTATTCCTCCTAATGTTCAAGCCTTCTGTTGGGAAGTTTTCCTTGGAAAGATAAATACCTTTGATGTGCTTCAAAGAAAGCTAAACATATGCAAGGCAAATGGTGAAACAATTCCTCACTAATTTCTTGGTCCTTTGCAAATTGTGTTTGGACAGACATTTCTTCTCTCTTTGGCTGCAGGTGGGACCCCCACAAGACTTCACTACGTTATTCAGCCCAAGTTCTTTTAGACAAGCAAAAAAGAGAGGAAGATTACTTTGGAAGACAGCCAGGGCAGCATGAGTGTTGACCTCATATTTTATCCCAAAATTTACAGTACAGCCCAAAGAAGATTTTCCCTTTGAGTTCCCTGTTTTGCCAAAGTATCAGCCACACTGTTGGCAGACCTCCTTGTCCAAGTAAAGATTACTCCAGTTTCCCTTGCTAAACAATAAGTCTTCCTCATTTGCTGTATCAAAGTCCACGCCCCCAGACTTTTTGTCTGCAGCTACCCTATTAACAGCTTAGAATCTCCCTCAACTTCATAATTTTGGAAATCCCAATGCTTGGCCAATCTCGGACCTTGGAGTAAGGCCATAATTTCAGCTCTTAAAGAATCACTAATACCTATTGGGCCAGAGTACATTGCTATTAGCCTGCCCTCCCCATCACTAAATACTCCCCCACTCCCGAGGGTCTTGGATTGCCCAAAGAACTTCAATCAAAGTTCAACTTTACCCTTTGGTGTGCTGATGGTATCCATTGGGGTTGAACCACACCCTTAGCAGTAAGAAGGTTTGCCACTGTCGACCAGCCTCTAAAAATGTCCTCCACCGAGTGATCTTTGAATAATTCAGTTGATTTCAGCCAATGAATGACTTTAGTGAGTATGTTATCAATTACTTGTTCCTTGGACCTTTCTTTCCATTGGAAAATTCTGTTATTTCTCTCCTCCCATAATGACCAAAGGATATCAGCTCTCGTAGCTCTCCACATCACCCTACCTCTTTTCTTAGGTAGTCTAAAGATGCTTGGTTCAAAGATGCTTGCCACATCCTTTTGCGGCATGTTAGAAAATTTCTGCTTCACAATGTCTTACTCTTGTGGAAATCACCAATGTATCAAAAAATTAGAGGAAAAGTGCAGAAAATCAGATTCTGGGAGGACATTTGAGTAGGGGATTCCCCCCTTTCTGAGGTTTTCCCTTCCCTCTTTGCTCTTTCCAGTCTCAAGGGAAAACTTATTAGTGATTTTATTAGTTCATCCTCTTCACTTTCAAACTTGAGTTGGAATCTGGGTTTTACTAGAAATCTGAAATCAGACTCTAGAGTTTAGGCACTCAATCAGTAGGGTCCTTCTCTTGCAAATCCTTCTTGAATTCCCTTGTTGCTATGTCCTGCTCTCCTTCTTTTACTGTCAAGGAGGTCTGGTTTCAGCCCATACCTCCTAAAGTCAGTTCTTTCTGTTGGGAAGTGTTCCATGGCTCCATTAACACCTGCGATCTTCTTCAGAAAAAAAGACCAAATTGGTGCTTGTCCCCAAACTGGTGCTCCTTATGTAAGCTACACGGTGAGACTACCTTTCATCTTTTAATCTCCCGTCCTTTTGCTAACTATGTTTGAGAGTAGTTTTCCTCTCTGTTTGGATGCGGCTGGATTCCTCCTGTTAATATGAAAGGATTATTTAGTTCTCACACTTTCAGGTGCTCTAAAAGGAGAGGCAGGATTATGGGAAGGTGCACTAGAACAGCAGTGGTTTGGACAATTTGGGTAGAAAGAAATCGAAGGATTTTTTATGACTAGGAAAGAAGCAAAGAAACTGTGATCGAAGTGGTGACTCTAAGGGTGCACATTGGGTGAAAACATTAAAGTTGTTTGCTGATTTCAAGGCAGAATATTTCTTCAGATCATGGGGAACAATTGCTAATACTGCTTCTAGAAAATCTATAACAGATGAGGTCTGGTCCCCTCTGGCTGCTGGATGGAAGAAATTAAACTTTGATGGTAGCTGTTTGGGAAATCCTGGTCCATCGGGTATTGGTGAGGTGATAAGGGAAGAGAATGGAAATATTTTAGCCGTGTACTCAGGTCCTTTTCAGCATGGTGATGTGGTGAGACCAGAACTGATGACAGCAGTGTATGGTGTTGAAAAAGCTAAAGAAATGGGGATTAACAGGCTGATTATTGAAGGGAACTCAAAGATTGTTGTCAACTGGCTGAATAAGGGGGAAGGAGTAATATGGAAGCTAAGGTGCTTCAAGCAGATATCTAAAGCTATGTTGATTCAAATTAGATGGGTTAGGAGGTCAGATAACATCATGCAAGGTTCAAAATTTCGATACGATACGCCCCATATCATATCATTGGCTTAACGATACGCCCCTACAGGGGTCGTATCAGGGTGTGACCTGGTTCACGGGGTAGACCAGCCTTAGACTGATCCCTCTGAACCAGTTTCGAAGAAAGAAAAAAGGGTGAGCGAGCTTCGATACAGGCCAATACGCCCTTACCGGCATATCAGCCTGTATCGAAAATTTAAACCTTGACAGAATGGCTGATGGACTAACTAAACAAGGGATTAAAAGACAATCTATGTTCTGGGCTGGTTTGTAATTAGTGGGTTTTTTTTTTTTCTTTTCTTTTGGGCTTCTTTTTCTGCCTGTAACTTCTTGTTGTATATGCTTTTTTAATCTAATCAATAAATAAATTCTGTGTTGCTGGTAAAAAAATCTTGCTTATGACTTGCTTGAAAATGCCACTTTTTTCAAGATATCTAGATTTGACTCCTCTTCTTTTGTATACCAACATTGCAAAACAAAGAAAACTCAAGGTACATACAGTCCAACATACAGGAATTTCTTTATGTTGGATCTGTAAACCAGATATTAGTTATTTTAATAGAAATTCTTTCATCTTTAATGGGAGATGTTTTACTTTAGGGCCATTAACTGTTGAATTACTTGAACTGCATCTCTTATTGATTTGTCTTTTAGTGGATAAACTAGCCATATGGTGAAATATTCAAGGGTAAGTTAGGCACTCTGACATGCCATTCAACAGTAAAGGAGCTCACGTCCTACTTAATTGCATATTCGCTAAAAGTCAAATGATAATTAAGCTGTTATGAAAAGTTCATTGGTCTAGAACCAACAACTGAGTATGTTCTGTAGGGTGTTAAATAAACCATTTTGTAATGGTGTGCAGAGAAAAACTGCAATTTTGGGCTCTCCACATTGGAAAGCTATTGCTACCTTAGAGACTTGTCATAATTACTTTAATCTTAAATTATTTCTCTTCAATATTCACCTTGAACTCATGGTTGTGGAGAAAGAAAATTTTCATTGGTTTTAAAAACATAGAATGAGGCCCAAGTATTGTAACTGGATGTAGGGTTGCCACCTATTAGGATCCTCTTTTTGGAAGTAGTCAGAAAACTTCATTAAAAGATAAAAAAGAGCAACTTTGGTGAAGATTTTTCACTGAAATAAGCTACACCACTTCAGGAAGTTATAGAATAATGATGGTCAACTATAGGATATGACTGGTTATTGCAAACTTAAGATGCTTTTTTTTTTGCAGTTAATTACCAAGATCAAGGAAAATTTCATGTTATGAACTTATGCATGATGGTTGGTATCTTTTTTACTCTTGGTTTAATCCCAGACTCAAGAATCGGAAAGTCCTAACATCCTTGAACTGGAAATTTGAAAGATTACTTAATCTTCTAGATTCTGGCTAAACATGGTGAATTGGGGATGCCAATTTTTGGGTGTTGTGTAGATGATTGTGATCTTTTAAAGCCATATTTCTTTTGCAACATTCAACATTGTGTATCATTTTTGCATCTTAGCCTTTTGGGTTGTTCAATAAATGTATTTACTGACTTACATTATTTGTTTACAGGCTTTGCCACCCACAGATATAAATTTTGTGCCATTGAAGCAGGTAAGTATCAAACTTTCGATATCTGGCATACAATTACTATCTATTGGTACTTGCTTTTCCCATTGGCAGTTCTTTCCTACTTGACAAATGTTCCATGTTTAAGAGTTGTTTTTGATCCTCACCTGTTGTCTCATTCTTTGTCATGCCATCCACGTTTTGTCATATTAAAAATTTCTCCCTTTTTGTAAAGTTCATTGACCATATTCATTCCTGCTCAAGTCACTGCTACTGCCACCTATGTTACCTAGATTTGTCAACGGCACGATGATGATATATTGTGAATGAGGGTGAAGGGAAATCCTTTCCCAATTCAGTTGGAACCACATCTATTGACTTTACCTTCGAGCCAGCTGGTACGTCAATATATGTTAATTTAGAATGGTAAGGTAGGAGCAGGAAATAATACAAAGCCAAACAAACAACTGAAATGAAACTCTGAGAAAAACAAAGGCTACTGCACTTGTTTATCTTTCATGACTTTGATTGATAAATTTAATCTACTTTAAAGTGTTTCTGCCAAGAGCATTTTCAAGTTTGGTTAGAAAGAAAAGGAAATGTGCAAAAGAAAATGCCAATGTGCTAACTTCCTCAAAGCTTGTCCAAGAAATCTGTATTTTTCCTCCTAGTGATGTGGAAATAAAATTATAATTTGATAGAAGTTCTAGTTTTATAATACATGGTCTGCTAGAATTGGAAAGCCTTTTAAGTCTGATAGGAGTATGGTTCTCCTCATTGGCAATGAATAGGGACAGGGCTAATTTAGAGTGTGGTGGTCGTTGGCAATTGGTTAACTATCTAGATGAGATTGGGGAGATGTTAGTAGGTTTTGATGGTGCATACAAGAAAGAAAATCCTAGAGAGTGGAAATCAATTTTGAATGGTCTTGTCTCATGGATGTATAGACATACCTTTTGAGAAATTGAAAGCATAACAACGGAGCTAACTATTACTTTTGAATGGGTGAGAAGAACAGAAAATAGGATGGTGGATGCTCTAGCTAAACAAGGGGCTATTAGACAACAAATGTTTTGGGCAAAAATGTAAACTTTTGTATTGTTGGGGTGGATAATAATCCCTCCTTGATGTAATCTTCAAGTTGATTTTAATAAAATCTATTCTTACTGATAAAAAATGTCAAAGAAGAAGGGGTATTGATGGGGTTAGGTAGCTCTTGTAGTCTTAATTGTTCATATTGTGTTATTCATTAGAGTAATTGTGCCTACACAACAAAATAGGGTGACAAAATGCAAGAACACACATATTCTTGAGGTTGCTAGGTAGATTATGTGTAGCAGTCATGGGCCTCTTCGTTTTTGGAGTGATGTTATTCATGTTTTTTGAAGAGTAAAAAGAAAATTTTCATTAAAAGGAAATAAGTATCTGAATACAATCAACAGCTAGGGTGATAAGATAGCACCCACAATCATACAGTTGTGTTTCTTATAAACAGGGTTCATTCTCCTGTTCTTGGGTTGAAAACACCGTTTACTCTCCTTTGTTCCAATGATGTTTTTTTTTTTCCTATTTCCTTTCGGATTTTTGGTTGTACTTGCTTAGTTCACATCCTGGGTCCCCACAGATCCAAGTTTGACATGATGTCTGTCAAGTGTGGTTTCTTGGGGTATGCATCTAACCAAAAAGGGTATTGTTGTTTTGATCCCATAAGTGGCAGGCGGTTTGTTTCTATTGATGTTACTTTCTTTGAGTTAGTTCCTTATTTCTTTGATACTTCTGCATAGGGCAAAACTAGTTAGTTTCCTAATTTTTCCTTGTAAGTCTTTTGTGTCTCTTCTTGAGTCCCCTTCTCTTCCTGTTCTATTGTTGATTTTTCTACTTGTGAGCATTTTGGTGATGGTAAGTTGCAGGGATACCAATGAAGGAAAAATCAACCTTCTTTGGATAATCCACCTTAAGTCTCTTCTGATGATGCAGATTCTATTGATCCATTGACTCCTATTTTTGTTTATCCTCCACTTGCTTTATGTGTACATCCTTTTGGCCTTTTCTATTGGTCTTCATAAGGGTAAGTGCTCTTCCACTGCTCATAGTATTTCTAACTATATTTTTTGTAGTCTTTATCCTTTGCCTATGAATCTTTCTTTGCTTCTTTCTCATTTGTTTCTATTCTAAGGAATGCGATTAAAGTAGTAGGACTTGTGGAAAGCTGCCATGTAGGAAGAGATGGATGCTCTGCTGAAGAACAACACATGGGACATAGTTTATTTTCTTCAGGGGAAATGCCTATAGGATGTTAATGGGTATTTACTATCAAACATGGGGCCGATGGATGGTAGTATAGGACTTCTTATTTAAAGTTTTAAACTGAAATAAAAAAGACAAACCACTTCTTAATAATATAATGTATAAAGACTAGAATGCCCTAACTGTCAACTCTAACACTTCCCCTCAAGCTGGTGAGTATATGTTATATAGTCCCAGCTTATTACATATGTAATCCACTCTTCTTTGACTCAACCCTTATGTACACAAATCTGTTCACCGACTTCCTGAGTGTACATGTGCTGTACTTATAACTCCATTAAGCACCTTCTCCCTTTTGAAGTGACAATCAACCTCTATTTGCTTTGTTCTCTCATGGAAGATTGAATTAGGTGAAACGTGGAATGTAGCTTGGTTGTCGCAATATAATCTCATAGAGTTGTTAACTAAGTAGCCAATCTCCCACAAGAGGTTCTTCAACCACACTAGCTCACAAGCAGTATGTGGCATGGTTCTATGTTCAGCTTCAACACTACTTCTTGCTACCACTATTTGTTTCTTTCTCTTCCATGTTACTAAATTTCCTCCAAGGAAGGTACAATACCCTGTAGTGGATTTTTTATTAGATATTGAACTAGCCCAATCTATATCTATATGACCTACCTCAAGACTTCTCCAGGGTTGTACAACAACCCACCGCCCGGAGTTCACTTCAAATATCGCACAACTCTAAGAATTGCATCCGAATGAGGAACCCGAGGTTTCAACATAAATTAGCTAAGTACACTAATTGCAAATAAGATATCTGACCGGGTAATAGTTAGATATTTTAACTTAATGACCAAGCTTTTGTACCTTCTAGAATCATCAAATTCCTCACCCACATTAATGCTTAATTTGACATTTGGCTCCACATGCATTTTAGCTAGTATGGCACCCAATAGTCTTGTCTTTCCAACAAATCAAGAACATTTTTCCTTTGGCACAAATTGATACCATGCTTCGACCTTGCAACTTCTATTCCCAAGAAATACTTTAATTTGCTAGTATCTTTTTTTTGAAAGTAATCATGTAGAAAATGCCTTCAATCTATCAATCCCCAACCTGTCACTACTAGTTATAACAATGTCATCAACATATACCACCAACAACATCTTTCTAGCTTCAGAGTCATAGTTGAGTACTGAGTGATCAACTTGACATTGCCTCATATCAAAATCTTTTACCACTTCATTGAATCTACTAAACCAAGGACACAAAGTATGTTCCAACCCATAAATTGCCTTCTTGAGTCTACATACCTTACTATCCTCCTAAGCAACAAATCCTAGTGGTTACTCCATATAAAACTGCTCAAGAAGATCACCATGTAGCAAGGCATTTTTTATGTCTAATTGAAAAGGGCCAACCATACATAGTTACTAAAGACATCAACACACGAATTGATTCAATCTTGGCAATAGGAGAGGAAGCCTCTGTATAATGCACTCCATACAATTCATGTGACTAACCCTTAGCAACTGTCCGAGCCTTCAACTGTTGCAACTGTCATATGGTAAGTACTTGACAGTATATGTCCATTTACCACCTACAACATGCTTACTAGGAGGGAGTGTGGTGAGCTCCCACTTGCGAAGGATTATGTGCGAGAAATTCAGTTGGGTGAAGAGATCTGCTAACTCATTTGCTGATGGGCTAGCAAGCAAGGGGTGAATAGGGATTCTTTGTTTTGCGCTCATTTCTAATCTTGTAATCTTGTTTTGTTGGTTGCGGGGGAGTGAAGATAGTTTACCTCTTTCTACTTGTATGTGTGTATATATATATATATATTTAATTTTAATAAAATTACATGTTATTAATAAAAAAATTATGTGCAAGAGCAAAGAGTTCCTCTTTCATTGCTTGGTGCCATTGAAAGTGGCAATGGCTTCCTTGGCATTCTTAGGAATAAACATGATGACAAATGAGAAACAAACTGGCGAAAGAGTTCCTCTTTCGATGAGTATACAGTATACACTTGCCTGATTGGTGGCGCTTTAGTATTAACCTGCACTAGAGGAGGTGATGGCTTGGTGACAATTGGAATATAGGAATGGGGTTATCAACCAGAATTGGGAGGGGAAACACTGGAGGTGAGGGGGGAACATCAAGACTAGTGAAGAAAGGAACAGATTCAAAGAATGTGCAATCAGGATAGTCAAACAAACACTGGGAGCAGATTCAAAGAATGTTGCGAAGTCTAGGTTTTGTATTTGTTTCTACAATAAACTTTTGATCTTAACTCCAGATTTTCCAGCACCTTGTTCCACATCCATTCTAACAACAGCATCTTCCTTTGGCACTTCATGCCCTTGACTAGCAAAGACAATATTCAATCGATCTGAGACTTTAAGACTCCCTTGCTCTCTCAGCACCCTCAACTTCACACCTCAAGCCTTCCAACCTTGTTACTAACAACAAACTCTTTGATGCACTCTCACCTGTTTCCTGTAAATTCTCCTTTTCCAAAGAATCTCCACCTTTCACTCCCTTGTTAGACCTTTTCTCCCATTGGTAATAACTTGATTGACACTTTTAAAACCACCCTCCCTTTCCAATCTCTTCTTATTTTCTTCCCTTTCTTTCCTTACCACTTCTATTGAGCAAACAAAGCTCCCAAAAACTACCCCTTTAAGTTCCACCTCAAATAAGGGCCCCAACTCTAAAGAGTTACACCCTTCTTTTGGTTCCACACCATCCTTTTCAATCTCAGTTAAAGAGACAACAAGATTGACCTTAGCACAGTCACTAGATTTTTCAATTTCAACTGCAGGCAGAAGTTCCAATTCTTTAGTAGAGAACTCTCCTTCCAAGTTTCTCATGTCAAAATCAAAGGAATAGAGACCCCACTTGTCTAAATCTACCTGAATTGACGAAGACTCCTGGTGGTTGAACCTTGTGCTCCAAATCGACTCCTCCACCGTACAATCCAATAGGTACTGTGAACGTTGATCTGAAGGAAGTTGCCTCACATCCTTGAACTTATCCACTACAGGAGAAAGTTCCCTTCCACGTTCCACCAATCTTCTTGAACCAGGCCCATACCTACAACCAACCCAAAGGTTCCACCAATTATGCCCTTATTAATATCTAAACCCCCATTGGTCCACGGAACTTTAGGCTCACCTAAGTCATTTGAGTCTTCAAGGGGCCCCCTTTGGAATGACCAATCTAAAGAATAATGCTCTGACTCAACAGACCCAACATTTCCACTTTTTCCATAAAACTTTTCAACTTCCCCCCACCCCTTGTCTATTATGAGGTCTACGCGCTCCTTGGGCACACCTTCCCCCATTAAACTGTCTAGGCCATATAAAGCCCTGCCAACCTTTTGGACTTCTCACTACTTAAGTCTCGGCTGATGTATCTCCCTGAAAAGACTCCCACCCCATGAACTTTTCCAGAAATTCCATGGTTGTCCTCGTCTTCAACCTTCAACTTGCCTTCTTCCAAGCGATTTTTCATTTTCACCCCATTTAAACCAGATCTCTGACCATCAGAAACTGAGCCCGATTCAAAAAATCCCACCTCCTCTAACCATCTTAAAGGGTAGCAGCCTATCACCCCCAAAACAAAGAACTAAAAAATTTGGAATCAAATGTATTTCCTTAAATCAAGATTCATGTAAGCAGGAAGATCCTTCCAGGAGCTTGTCCAGTGATAAACTTTTCTTCCACAAGCCTCCCCCACTGACCACAACAATTGCAAGCACCACATGTGGAGATGAATCCTGAAAATATTAATCCATTACTAAACTTGTGATGCTATCGTTTCTGATCGCTCCTCAATGGTGTCCATTTACCCAACCTAATCTCTGGATATCTGACTTGATTATGCTACCAAGCAAGCACCTCTTCAATCTCTTCTTTTCTACCGAAAATAAAAAGAAAGAAACTGGTATTTAATCTTCAAACCAAGAAGTTCTCTTTCGGTTTCCATTCATCTTTTGTCCACTTTACATCATTTTCCATCTCTGGATCTGAATTTACAAAACAACTGACCAGGCTCCTTTCTAGCAAGTCTAACAAAAAATGCAAATTACCAACTGAATCAACAAACACTTCCTTTATGGTGCACACACACTTAATGTTGCTTTATAGTTTATATTTCTTGAATGACTATTGTATAAGTGGCCTTTATTATGAAAATTTGATTCATCAACTAAAGACACCCTTAATTTCCACTCAAAGTGACCTGCTCAGCAGTCATCTCTGCTTGCTCTGTTTGCTCCTTATTCCTTTCATTACTTTTAGTTTTGATTCTGATGATGTGTGAGGTCTTCATGAATTATTAATTTCATTATATTGACAATTTTCAGAACTTTCTTGGAATCCATCTCACCTTTCCTACTGTCACAAGAATTTGAGTATGGTTATAATGATAGCAATATATTGTGGTCTATAGATGATGTTACTGATAAAAGTCTTATACAATATGTTTTCTTTTGCATTGGAAAAAGAAAGTGTGAATTTGTTTCATCATTTCCTTTTGTAGGTCAAAAGTTTCCGAGCAGATGAACTAATGGAATTTTACAAGGTCAGTCCAAATGCCATGGTTTTATAGATGGTTGTATACAAGTCAATAAACAAATTAAAGGATGAGAGTTGTGTTATTTAATTTCATTTCCTTATTTGTAGCTTGAGTACATTATAATAATTTTAATTTCATGGCTGCCTTTTGCAAAATTTTCTTGGATTTCTTCTTCTATTTCAGTTGAATTTTAATTTAATAATATAATATCCTCTTGATGCTTTCTTTACTACCAACACTTTTGGCAGACAGATCTGAAATTGAAGAAATTCTTGCACATAATTGAGAAATCACCAGTTTTTCCAGTCATATATGATCGCAACAGGTAAGATGGCTGTTTTATATCAAGTCCAACGTTAACAGTTGATTTTTGCTGATGGAATTAATTCCATATTCTCTTAAGCTGTGTTTGGGTTGTGGGGTCGAAGTGAAAAGTGGTGCAGATCTGTAATTTGGCTGCTAATGGAAATTACTAGCCCTCAGTCATTCCTTTTTCCATTGAACTGACAGTAAACATGGCTAAAATCTTGCTGTTCTATATGTTTCCCTCGTTTCTTTTTCCCCAGAACCAACTGGTGAAGTAGGATCTAACAAATCATTTTCCACTGCATGTTTCTGCTTCTGCCCTAATCCAAACTCAGCCTTGTGTTATTGGCTTCCTGTCACTTTGTATAACAGCTTTTGACGTAAAAGAATGGCTATTCCTATGAAAACACTTGGCAATGCATTTTTTATCAATAGTTAATGCTATTATATGTATGTTATTTGTCTTATTGGCACTGTGAAAACTAAGCATCCTATTTCAAATTCTTGTCATCTTTTCACTGAACTGATAAACGATGCTTTATTAATAGTATAATCATAAAGATGTCACAAGGGCCATCTTGAGTGCATCTAGCTTAAACAAGCTTAGACAAGCTCCAAAACCATCAATTGTCAAATTTTCTTTCTGCAGGACTGTTTTGTCCTTACCTCCGATTATCAATGGTGCACATTCAGCAATTAGTCTGCAGACAAAGAATGTATTCATCGAGTGTACAGCCACTGATTTAACGAAAGCCAAGATTGTTTTGAACATCATGGTATGCAAAAAACCAGTTCTTATCTCGTGCTTTTGATGTTGACTTTTGTTTTTAGCTATTATGTAATGCTGCCTATGTGGAATGACTTCTCTTATGTTCACCCAGGTGACAATGTTTTCAGTGTACTGTGAAAGAAAATTTCATGTTGAACCTGTTGAAGTGGTTTACTCTGATGGGAAATCCAATGTTCTTCCTGACCTATCAGTCTTCAATTTAGAGGTCCCTTTGTCTTATATCACTGGGTCCATAGGTGTCTCTCTAGACTTGAATCAGGTATTGCTATCTCAGGGACTCTATATATTCCATCATTGCTGTTTCAGAAAAAAAAACACCAGTTGATTCAGTGCTGAACACTTTTCATTAGCTGTTTGACATACAGATAAATTTGTTTTACCATTGAGTTCTGGTCACCTAATTTTTGCTTTATTAATCTGGATGAGACTTTTTTTTTTGTGCTTTTACATTGTTCAGTAGCAAGGGGTTCTGCATATGAGGAGATCCTTTACCGAACTCAAAATAAAAGGACAACTTTGTACACAGACATCCTGGGATAGAAGGTCCCCAGTACATATCAAATCCTCTTGGCCCTCCTCTAGCCAAACTTTTCTCCACTGAATTGGCTGATCTTGGAATCCATCTGAGTGATCTGTTCTCTATGAATGCCAAAACTTTACTCTCTGATATGATTACTAAGAGACCAAGGTCTGTCAGAGCCAAACTGTTATCCATCCTATAACCAACTAGGAGCCATCCTTGATCTCAAAACCCTATTCCAAGGAATATCCCTTAGACGTAACATGGAATGCCATTTATACTAAATAGTTTTTTTCCCTCCCATGATTTATTTTCCCCCTTCTTTCTCTGTGTGTGCTGTCTGTAGGTATAAAGGATATACTTGTTATGACATCATCATATGTTATTTTCAACATTACTATCACTTATTCCTCTCAAGTAACAAGATACAACTTTTTTATTCCCCATGGAAATCAAAGCCCTAGAGTCCCCATAGTGGCCCCATAACTGGGCAAATAAACATTGGTCCTGATCTTTAGCCACCTGCATACTTTTCTCTATCTGCTATCCATCTCCAAAATCTAAGGTACTTGGATAAGCATGATACCAAATTTGTTTTATGAACAAATCCATCATCATACTAATTTTGAAGCACTTTCTGAACCTCTCATATTTTGACTAAAAATCATCATTGGTTCGCTATGATTACCCATTTACCTTATTCTTCCCCAACGCTTCTATTCTTTCCTAGTTTCTTTGTACTTGAGGCCTCATTGTTGATACTTGATTTTATTTCCTCGAGTTCCTCTAGAATTATGGGTGTTTCTGCGGTCCTGTGTGTGAGCTCCCAAAATGATGGGGATTTCCGTGGGCTTTTAATTACATTTGGGGTGAGGAGTACTTCCGCAGGCGTCTGTGTCTGTTATTGCTCTTGCGGGTGTGGGTTTGTTTGTTGAAAACTCCTACATGCGTGTGTTTATCATTGTGGCGAGAATTCAAATATGTAATGATGGCAGTTACAGATTATAAACTGCCATTCTAAACTTAGTGGACAAGCAATTACTTGGCTTGCTGTCATGTGTACCATGCTGTCAGGATTTTCAGGCATCTGTTAATATCAGTTCTTTGCCTTGTTTCCTCACCTTTATGCTCTCTTGCTGCTTTAAGTGACTATTTGTCTTCTCTTTATTGTTGTTGCCTTTGCTCTCTGTTCTTTTGTACTCTGTTATCACTGTTGCTTCTTCCACTTCCTGTCGACCAAAGTGGTTTCCAAGCAAACCATAGTTGTAGATGTTCCAATGGACCCTATTGCCAGAAAACTTTCTAGTCTTGATGCGGCGCTTGTTGCTCAGGATTTGTCGTCAATGGGGATGTGTGATGACTTAAATGCTATGAATCCTCTGAGAAAGGATCTTGAGCTTGTTGCCAGCAAGATGGATGAAGTGAGTAGTGTTTCCGATTTTACTCAACGAAGTTCCCCTGCTTTAAAGAACTTTCTGCGATGCAATGGGTGTACTTGATGTAACTGTTGCGGGTGTGGGTTTGTTGAAAAGTCCCACATGTTTTCATTACTTATTGACAGCTTCTTTCAGTACATTCTCTTTAACAATGCTTTGTCTTGATGTAACTATATTCACATTTTGTCTTTTCCAGTAGAAAATATATTTTCATTACATATTGACAGATTCTTTCAGTACATTTTGTCTTTAACAATGCTTTAGATGACATATTTCCTGTAGCAGTAAATTTTATCCTTGGATTCTCATAATGTTTTGTTTGCTTTTAGGTTTCTAGTTTGTTGAATAAGATGCAGTTGCAAGCTGAAAGGTCTGTATCAGTAGACGGGCGCAGTATTGTTGTATCTGTACCTCCAACTAGAAGTGATGTTCTTCATGCTTGTGATGTGATGGAGGTATTAACTCTGATGCATTGAGTGACCATGCTAATGCTTTTTGAGCATTCTGGATTTTTGAGGTTTACTTAACATAACCTTTTAGTAACTAAGTATGTATTCCTTTTTTTACTCTCTTTTAAAGGATGTTGCCATTGCTTATGGGTTTAACAAAATCCCAAAAAGGAAGCCAGTGTCTTTGAAGCCTGTAGCTCTGAATCAAATCAGTGATCTTATCAGATTAGAGGTACCTACTAGAGAGTTCTTGTGGTTTTGTTATTTGTAAGGTTTTGTTTCTTACTTTGCAGTTACTATTTGTTTGCAATTTGTTATGTTCTGCAAGACCTGTTTGTTTTTTTCCTGTTTTTCTTACTTGCTATAGGTGCATTTTTTCCTGCACCTCATCATCATAATTTTCTAAGCCTTGTCCCAACTATATGGAGTTGGCTACATGAATATTGTTTTTCCACTCCATTCTGTTCAGTGCCATATCCATTGTTAAAGTGTTAAGTCCTTAAATCATTTCTTGCTGCTTCAACCCATGTCCTTTTTGGTCTGCCCCTGGCTTTTCTAGCCCCTTTGACTTGTAATGGATAACTTCCTATGGGTGTTGTAGATGGTCTTCTCTATATGATTACGTGACTAAACCATCATAGTTTACTTTCCTTCATTTTATTACCTATTGGAGCCACTCATAGGTTCATTCTAATGACTTCATTTCTGATCCCCATCCTTTCTAGTTTTTCCACTCATCCATCTCAGCATACACATTTCTGCCACACACATTTTTGCTCATTTTTTTTCTTAACTACCCCTGACATACTGCTCCATATGTCATTGCTGGCCTTACAAATTGTTTTATAAAATGTTCCTTTTAGCCTATGCTGTATTGACATATAACATATGACTGGATGCACCCCTCTTTTTTGCCCATCCTGCTCTATTCTATTGGTGACATTCGTCTAAATCTCTCCCTAGTTTTGGATTAATATAACCAAAGTGTTGTCATTGGGTATCCTTTGTGGCAATAATTAATTGGATTGGATGGGATATTTTGGTGTGACTTGGTGGAAAATTGTTTTCAATATATACACAGGACAAAGCACATTGAAGTAGACAGACATTTCATAAGAGAAAGGGTGACTTGGGGGGAAGTTTGTCTCCCATACATTGCTTCTGATTTTCAGTTTGCTGATGTTCTTACCAAATGTGTTGCAAGGAACAAGCGGGAGCATGATCTACGCAAGTTGGGAATGTGTGACATTTACTCCCAACTTGAGGGGGAGTGTTGAGTTGGGCCGATTTTGAGTTATTGGGCCCATCCTTTTATTTTTTATTTTTAAGTTGTTAAGTTAGGAAATTATTGGGCCTTAGGCCCATTAGTTTATGTTATTTTAAGTTGCGACTGTTCAGCTACTTAAAGTATTTGCCCTACTAAGGGTATTCTTGTAATCTTCCATTCTTTTATTTTAAGTATATAAATCAAGAGGGGTTGGCGGCCAGATCTATTCAATTCTGGTGACATCCCACTCTCTTTTCTTCTTCTCTACTGCTGAAACCTTTCAGCTTCTTCTACTTTTCTTCACAAGGCATTCATCTGAAGCTGTTATCAGCAATTTCTATTGTTGTAATTTGCATTTGTTGTTTGTGAGAGTTTGCACCTTGCATCTCTCCTTGAACCTTTGTAAAATTTTGGTTTAATTTCTCAGTAAAATTCTTCATTTATTTATCAAAAAAAGGATATGGAATTGCTTTTCTGTTTTTTTTGAAGCCTGTTAGCAGCCTCCAACAGTCTTTCTATCCCAATTTGCCCCTGGGATTCTATCTACTTTGCAAAGAGAAGTAAAGATTATGTTGAGCAATGTGCTGCATGAGAGTGGCAATCCTTTGTGAGTAGTAGTGTAGGGAGGGTTTAGTTGTAACTTAAGAGTCTCTTTCCTTAGCTAGTCGTTCTTTATTATGTATAATAGCCCAATTAGGACTGTTCTTGTCTTCTCCTCTTATTGATGGGAAGAATTGTTTTATATACTTCAGATGGGTTGAAGGATCAGCAATTAGCTCTATTGACACAAATGCCGAGTAAGGGGTGATTAGGGATAAATTTTTTTGATTGTCTGTTTGATAATGTTTTTTGTTAATTGTTGATCAAAAAAATGTTTGTTGTTAATTGAGAAAAAAAAGGGGTTCGGTAGCAAAGTAATGTATATACTTAATTTTGACAGTTAATGATAAAAGGACTTGTTTTATATACTCTTTAGTAGTTAATAAAGTTTCAGTGGCTAATAAAACATGCTTAATGTATATATTTCCACAGAATTCTGTGATGATTTTCATCATCATCATCATCATAATCTAAGCCTTGTCCTAGCTATATACATGAATCCTGTTCTGTCATTCTGTCTGTAGTGCCATAACATTTTAATGTTTCTTTGCTTGTAGATTGCAATGAATGGATTTACAGAGGTGCTTACATGGATATTATGCTCATACAAAGAGAATTTCTCCATGTTGAACCGCAAGGATGACAAATCAACTGCAGTGATCATTGGCAATCCTCGTTCAACTGATTTTGAGGTCTGTTTATTGATTTCATATTATAGTTGAGGGGTGTGCAAAACTCAGTCCTACACTGCATTTTTCTAAACTTTTATTTCCTTTTAATAGTAATAACTACCTTGTTGATTTTGAAAATGTGCTCAAAGCACATAGGAATTTATATTTTCCTGTTTATTACTTGATACATTTGCATACACACATATGTGAATACACACATATTTACTTGATACATTTGCATACACACATACATATGTGCATATGTATGTGTACATTTGCATACACACATATTGGAATTTATATTTTCCTGTTTATTTACATGATACATGTGCGTACACACATATGTGCATATTTATTGATTTCTAGTGCTTGAGTACCTAGGAAGACATGCATTTTTTTTTCTAAATCTATATTTATTTTTCAACTTAGAAAAAGGATGCTTTATATAGAGATGAACTATGTGTAGAAGCAAAGAGGAGGGGGTTTGGGATTAGGGAGGATGGTCCAGAAAAAATCTAGCATTGTTGGGGAAATGGCTATGGCGTTGGCCATTGTAGAGAGAGGGCTGAATTATGCATGACCTTTGACCATTCTACCTTCAGTTGGCCTAAAAAAAGAGGGAGAATTATGTGGAGGTGTGCTCGAGCAGCCTTAATATGTACAAATGGGAAGAAAGAAATGCTAGAATATTCCAAGAAAAGGAGAGGAGCAACTAGGACTTGAAGGATTGTGTATTGAATACATTGGTTAAAGACCTTGGAACATTTTCATCAATTCTCTTTTGATGATTTATGGAGAATAGGGCAGATACAAGGTGGCTTCCCCTGTCTGAAGGATGTTTGAAGCTGAACTTTGACGGGAGCAGCTTGGTCAATCCAGGACCCTCCGGAAGGGGGGGAGAGGGTTCTGAGAAATCAGCTTGAAGAGGTTGTTCTTCTTTACTCGGGTCCTTTGGGATATGGAGATTTTGTCTGGGAAAAACTTCTAGCTGCTGTACAGGGGGTGCAATTTGCAAATTAGTTGGGAGTAGAGCAACTGATTATGGAAGGGGATTCCAAGATTGTGGTGGACTGGTTGAAGAACCCCGAGAATGTTGTGTGATACTACAAGAATGAAATTAAGAAGTTCAATTGGCTGATAAGTAATATGTCGATTTCTATACAGTGGGTGGGAAGATCAGCAAATGCTTTGATGTGTTAGCCAAGCAAGGGGCAACTAGGGAAGATTTCTTTTGGCCTTAGTTGTGACTTCGGTTTCTTACTTTTAGTTTCCTTGTAGTTTGTTCGGGGAGACTGTATCTTGCACCTCTACTAGGGTTGTTGTATGAGTTTACAGATCCAAATTAGTTTCCGACTTAATAAAATTATTCCTATTCATAAAAAAAAGATGGTTGCTACTCTATAAGGGGTGATATTGGGTTTAGCACCAATGATAAAGGCTTCAGCCTAGGCCTGGGCCCAACCCAGCCCTCATCTTGCTCCTAGATTACAAGCATGGGTTTATGGGCTTTCTGGGCCTAGAGATTAGGTCAGACTTGGAATAACACTCAGTAGTGAGTGTTACCATTGAATGTTGTCCCAAGTCCCACATTGCTTAGGAATGGGAATGGAGGCCTTGCCTTCATCTATATTAGACCTGCTCACTGGTTGAGCCGAGATGGGTTCAGGCTGGGCTTTGCTTCTTTATTAATTGAAATTGATCAGGCCTGATCTTGGTCCTTATTTAAAGCTCGAAGCCCGGGCCTGAGCCTAAAGCCCAATAAAAACAAATATGTTATAATATATTAAGTATATATTATTTATAATGTATTATATAATGTTATTAGGCTTGTCGGGGCCACTTGACCCTTGAACAACTCTAATCTATATGAGGCCTTGCCTAGAAAGATAACTCTCATATTTGAGTTGACTCATCTCTTGGCACATGTATCAATTCATGAATATTTGTATTTTAAAATTTTTATTTTTTATATATAATGATAAATATTTAATATTAAGCATATTATGTATAATACAAAATATAATATATTATACTATAAAAATATTATGTACATTGTATATTATATATTTAATAACATATATTCTATCATATAGCGGGCCAATTTGGGCCTGCATACAAAAATTTGGGCCAAGGCCTAGAAATTTGTGGGCTAGGTTTCCGGATGGGCCAAGAATGATCACCCCTATGCTCTATCTATTTGTTGGCATGTCCACTTTCTCATTGGAATCATTGTGTTGTCAACAGTATTTTAAAACCCAACCTGGACATCAAATCATTTTCATATCTGAGTAACGGGTTAATGCTTCAACTGTTCGGGTTGAATGGGTCAACTCATTTTTTTAAGTAAATTAAATCTGATCTATTAGATGCTAAAGTCACCATTTCTAAAGAGGAAGATGATGAAAGGCAAGAAAGTTCAGATTTGGCATTGTTACTTTAGATGCTAGATTGGTCTTTCATCTTCTACACCTCTCTCTCCCAATCCCTTTCTCACACTCCCACTTTAGGGTTTTATTTATTTTTATTTAAAATTAATGATTTAACATTTTTCAAAAGAAATGATTAAATATATTATTGCAATATAAACCATCAACTGGAGAATAGTTCAAATGGCTCAATGGGTTAGTGTCTAGGTTTAATGGGTTTAGACCAAGTCAATGGATTTCTACTATTTAAGAAGTAAGAACTCTCTTAACCTCCAGGTGACAGGTTGAATGGTTCAACTGTCTAGGTTGCCGTAGACATTAACCAGGCTGCCCCTTGTGCAGCAGGCTGCCAAACCCCACATTAGCGGGAGCCTTGTGCACCAGGCTGCCCTTATACACACACACACACCATTGCATCAAGTAATCACTCCTAAAATAGCATCAATTTTTATCCCTTATTTATTTATTCATTTACATGTGTTTGAGTCTTGGGGTCATTTGCTTACATTATTATATAAGAAAATGCTTCCCAACAAATGCTCATTTATAATTAGGACTAATTGAGAAATTTTTAGAAGAGGGAGGAATATAAGGGATGTCCTAGCCAATGGAGGGCCAGGCCATGTCTTGAAGTGGCAGTCAAGTGGGGAAAGAACCACCAAGGAGGCTTAATATAAATGTCATAATTCACTATTTGGCAAGGATATCAACATCTTTGGCGGTTGGCCCATTCCCCTTGATTTGGAAATTTTTTGTAAGCTTACTTTCTTTTCTCTAATAAGGAGGGAGATTACCATGGAGGAGCACTAGGGTGGCTGCTCTGTAAAGAGACTGGGCCGAATGGGTCCTAGGATCTTCTCTTGTAATATATTTTCTTTTCTTGTTGGCTAATGGGCCTCTCTTAATGGCCTATTATTTTTTTTTGTTTAATCTCTTTATGTTACTGCCTAGCTGGCCACCCACTTAAGGGCATACTTGTCATTACTCTAACATTAATTCTTAATAAAAAAAGGATTAGAGGGGAAAGGGAAGATAATTCGAACCTTTCTTCTTCTTCCTTCTCTTTTCGCCATCTTCTTCTCTTGTATTGTTGCTCTTACTTCTCTTCTTCCTTTTTTTCCCTCTAATCTTC